CCAAAACATAAACACAAATCCATGAAGTCACTGACAAGTGGTCTGAGTCATGTTGGTAGGTGTAGACTACCTGGTTGGGGACCGCGAGATGATAGCAACCGATGGTTAGAGACCCTGAATGACATGGCTCACAATCGTTTGCAATGGTGTGCGCAGGTGCATCTACTCTTTGTGTCCCCCCGAATTCTAAACTGTATTCTTCATGTCCCTTACTTTTTCCTCTTTCTAAATTTATTTCACTGTATTATATTCCTTGAATACCATCTTCAAACCCTAATCTTTCGGATTACTGCTTATACTCTTGCTACCTCTACCGCTACGGGATTTGGATCGATAACTGCATCTCTGTGCTAATGTGGTATGACAACTCGAACTGATGTACGTACGTATGAAGTTCTACGTTGTTACTGACTGACTAATTCCCTAATACCCTGCATCTAACCTAACTATTGCTTACCCGGTGATCCCAGCAGGTACGAGCAATATTTCTAAGACATCTGTGGTCAAATACTAGTAACTTACGAGTATCCTCTCTTCTTAATGGTCAAGTTTCGTGGCCGTAAAATAAAAGTGAACGAACTGCCGTGCAGTATACTCGTCCTTTAATTGATAGACAGATATCTCGCCTTCGCCATAGGTAACGTAAGTTGACAAAAGCCAAACGAGTTTTTCGAATCCGTGCTGAGATTTCGTCAGACGCGAAAATATTAGGGTTGATCAGACTTCCAAGGTAAGTGAAGTTGTCGACGCTTTCGACTACTTCACTCCCTACCCTCAGTTTAGTTGTTGAAGTAGGTCACTCCTGAAGCAACAACTTGCATCTAGAGGGGGAGAGACGCATCACAAACATCCTGGTATTGTTGCTGAATGCTACGAAAAGACTGCGTTTTATCAGCGTCTTCACCAAACAGGTCTATATCATCTGCGTATTCTGAGTCGATGAGTGGACCTCCTGGTAGGACATTAGCTCGAAAATTCACTTAACGAGAACGTTATTTCCAGACGTAGGTCTACGATGAAGTTGAACAAAAATGGTGATAGTGAACAACCTTGCCGGACACCACTTGAGGTTGCAAAATCAGATGACAGTTCGCCGTCAGTTCTGACCCGACTGGTAGTGTTCGAGTAATGAGCCTTCACAAGGTTTATGTACTTCTGACGTACACATTTCAATACCACTGAACCTCTCGGTCGGACACCGATAAGCATACCTGTGTTCGAAGTTCTGACGAATGGTGAGTATGTGGTCGATGAAGCCACGACCAGGTTTAAAGCCAGCCTGTTGATTATTGAGGCTAGTATGGTTATCGCAGGATGATTTTTACCCCTTCCTATATATTGGGACAATCAGTGATTGCAACCAGTCAGATGAGATTACATTCAGTTCCCAGATTTCGGCTAAAATATTAGTCAACCTAATCGCTAAAACTGGACCATCATACTTGAATACCTCTGGAGCCAAACTATCTGGATGAGCTGATCTTCGTCGTTTCAGATTAGCTATAGCTTTTTGAACCTCAACTAGTGGTTGATAAAGATAAACATTTTGATCTCATAAAGTCTGAAGCTACAATACTGTTGAAATCTCTACTATGGAGAGCTAGTTAGATTCAGTTGCTAATGTGTTTCTGTCTTTTTGTTTGTACTAAATTATTGGTTCACTACGATTGGTAAGCCCAACCACCACGTCAAGGTAGCTGCAATGGTCTGGTAACATTATTCTATGTATTTATTCCCTGACCGTTGTTGCTACCGTGACGTGGTGGTTGGGCTTGCCTACCGTGATGAAGCAACCGAGCTATACTGGCTGGAACAACCGTTCCTCAAGGTCCTACCATATCAGACAGGTCGGTTGAAGAGCGGTAAGCCTAAAAGCAACAAACCCAAGGTCCGAAGGCGAAGTCGTACTGCTGACTGTACAGAGGTGTGACAGCAGTAAGGTGTTTCCTTCAGACAACCAGCATGAAAGCGATTCTGCCTTCCCACAAGGAGGGGTGGGGTTAGAAAAGGTCGACCCTAAAAATGCACACCTCGCCTTATCCCACGGATATCCGTCTCCAGCGGTAAGGTCTCAATAAGTTCGGAGCTAACACAAAAATTACCCATAAAAAGGTCGTGTGTGACCGACCTCAAGCAGTTGTCCCTTGGGCACTGCGGTCACGCTCTTAGGTCACTAAAACCACCTTTAATCCAATTTCCTTTTCAGGTACCTCCAGAAGAACCCTTCCACGGTGTGGGCAACCGGGAAGTGATAACCGCCCTCATACCTCTAACAGCACCCAAGACCACTGTGTTCATAATTAACCCGATGGCCAGTTCTCGTGGACTGGCAGGTGTAGGCATAGCACTAAGCATGAGGGCCGATCAAACACTGCTAGAGTGGATCCCCGTCAACAGTCGTCTATGTGCTGTTCGGCTAAACGGCTCCGTAAGAACTCGGAAGGATAGGGATACACGTCGTTGCCTTTTTGTCGTTTCTGCCTACGCTCCCACTGATTGCAGCTCAGATGAAGTGAAATATGCATTTTACAGAAAGTTGTCCGAACTTCTTCAGAAAGCTAAACACTCAGACATAGTACTCATATCAGGTGACTTTAATGCTCAGATAGGTAGTTTAAACCAAACAGAAAGGCATTTAGGTGGATATTTTAGTATTCCGACACAGCGAACAGATAATGGTGATCGTCTGCTGCAACTGCTCAGACAATCGTTCATTTTTAGCAAACACAAATTTTAAGCATAAGGAGAGACATCGTCTAACATGGCGACCCCCTACACCAAACCAACGATGGACTCAAATAAACCATATTGCCATCAGTTGGAGAGTGTCGGTACAAGATTGTCGCTCATTCTGGAGTACCTGCTTGGACTCCGACCACGCCCTAATACGGGCGTCTCACTGGATGTAAAAAAGCCACATTAAAAAGACCTGTTAGAACTAAGTTGAGTGACGAGAAAACCAAAAGTAGGTTCCAGGAACAACTGAGGTCACACTTAGGTAGTTCTGAAGACGAGGCTGACCCAGAGGTTGCTTGGAAAGGCATACAATCAGCTGTGGAAACAGCAGTGATATCTATTAGTGACTTAAACCACAGAGTTACAAAGAACCAGTGGATTTCTTCAAGGTCTATCACACTGATGGATTTTCGCAAACTCGTTCCATCAGGTTCTGAACATGGGGTCCGCGTGACTTTCGTAACCAATGGTTGGAGACTCTTGGTGACATGGCTCAGAATCGATCACAATGGCGTAGGTGTATACACTCGGTGTCTTCCCCTAAACTAAGAGATTAAAATCACTTCATATCTTTTTTTCCCACTAACTAACTCTTTCTTCCTATACTATATCCTTATTGCAATCTTTCTCCTATATATTAACATCTTTGACTTAACCACTCCTATGAATCCGGTGTTCATCTTGCTGTGCTAATGAGGTATGGCAACCTGGACCGATGCACATATGTGCCTGGTCCTACGTTGTAGCTGACTGATTGTTGATTTCTTCCATATATTATCTTGCTTACTTCTTATCGTTGTATTGTTGTGAAGCATGGCAGCTAGGATCGATGCAAATTTATAAAGGTGTTCGGTGTGAAAGGTTCAGATGCTCGGGTTGATTCATTACTGTTCATATAGTTCACAGTTTAATACATCTACCTATGGAATGGTTACCAAATCGTACCATTTATAGATTATTATTATTCATAACTATCAGCATAGATGTTAGATTATTTAGTTTGTTTTCCAGGGTATTTTAACTGTTAACTGTAAGTTGCTTTGAAAAAACATTAATATTCGCGTCTCACTTATGAGGCCGTAGTCAAGTAAATATATTTTGGAGATGCGCTTTCTTTGAAGACGATTATTCTTTCAAAAAGTGGAGAATATTTTTCATAAGCGATAATCAATTTATGATTCTATTCATTTTTACCCCGTATACACTTGATTTGGGCTCTTTGTGCGTGCGTTCACCTTAAAAAAATCTCATGAAAATCAGTGCTAGGTTTAATCATTCCGGCGGCAAGCATCATTATCTTGAAAATTAATCTTCGGTCACGGGATTCAACTAAAAATCAGAAAATACTGGACTTTTTTCTTCGTGTAGAACTCATCTGTGGGGACTCATAAATACTACAAGGAATGGAAATTCAGTTCTTAAGTCTCAAATTGAGTGACGTCGAAAATATCGATATTACCCCAAAGCAGTGTTATTATAACCCCTTAAACATCTCACTAATATCGTGACTTCCAGTGCGTCAACGCCACTTAATTCACACTTATCTTTCGGTTTCTTTGTTTTGTAAGATGTTATATATACTGAGTTATTTATTTCATTTATTGTTTTTTCTCGAGAAATGAAAGCCCTCTTGTCAAGTCCTTGTTTTTCCCTTATCCATTTTTGGTTTTCATCATTGAAATGTTGTGTATCGAGTCATATCAAATCCACTCTCATCTTAGTACCAGCTCTTATTTATCCTTATTTTAGACATAATTGAATTAGACTTTACAAAAAGGACAGAAAGCAAACCATAGTAGGACAAAGCAACTATCGGATGTTCTTTTGTTCTCAGTGGTTCTCAGCTAATGTCGTTCCTTGATGAAGACCACTTTTACATTGAACTAATATTCGCACTAAACTACTTATCCTTTCCGGCTTGAATCTGCTTCTCATTATCGGCTGACATCGGTCAGAAAATTAGTATGTATGTATTAGTATGTATCCTGATTTGTGTGCCAGTTTTTGGGATTTCGGTTTAACTCTAAATTGAATAATTTTCACTAATCCTTTATCCCAGTGTTGCCTACCCTATGTGATTTTATTTCCAAATTTTAAAGACATCAATTTAATTGCTTTTACAAATTTAAATCAGCTGATTTTATTCATTTTGGATATAAAGAACACTGAAACGTAGTAATTTTGTATAAATCCATTTTCATACTTATTAGATATCTAGTGTCTCTATTGTCTAATATCACTTCTTTTTCTTTCCATAACTTCAGACCACAAGGTGAATCACGTGTACTTCCATTTTCGGAACGGACATGTGACTTACTGGAAGTTCAATACAAATTAATTGTAGAACAAGGTCAATGGGGCAAACGTTTTGATTTACCATCAGAAGATAAACGTGGTGGTAGTGATGTATTTATTTTTAATAGCCCACAAGTAATTTAGTAATTGACAATATTATTCCTACTTATTTGTATTTTCTTACCATTGTTGAGTATTGAACATATTGCAAATTCTTATTAGTGGGATTGTAGCATGACGACAGAACTGATATTCTAGCTTAAGTATTCCATCAAGACAAATAAATAATTTGTTTATTCTCTTTGGTTATTATAAATTCAATGTTTCCCTATTTTGTGCTACGCTTCATAACTACCCTAGACTTTGCATATTTATTTATTGTGAATTTATTTTCAAATATTTTTATAAATTCATTCTTGTTTCTGTCTAAAGTCGATATCAACCTTTAAAAAAACTAATCAGTTTTCCATTGGATTACGATATGTTGTATTTTTTTTATACACTCAATAATTTATTCGATGATAAATTTTACCCATTCGTAGGTTCGAATTCCATTCTCTAGCTTTCAAACCTAGAGCATGGCTCATATCTAATTAGGTGGTAAATGAGTTGGTTTCCCCCTCCCCCGTGGGTTCGAATCCCATCCCCGTCTTCAATTGTTGTTGGGGGTACGACTGCAGGTTTTGATAAGCAGCGTTTTATTGATCGATCCAATGACACGTAAACACGTACGAACGACCTAGAGTCCCGATTGGTCCTGCTTCCCTGTCTATCCCAGCCAGTTGAGTCCAGAACGCAAGTCACACAGCCTCTGAGATATGAATCATTATATTTCAAACACACTCTGTTTATATACTAACCAAGCGGACCACATCGTACCATAAAAATAGAAAACAACATTTACACAATATTAAACAAGTGAAGTAAATATCGACCAATAGGAAATATACATTTAACGTCCAAGGACAACATTGGACTTAACATGATAATTATTGGTCTATCCTTCCGCATCCACAACATTAAACTAAATAAATTTTATTTATTTCAAGTATCATGGCTACTAACTAATCGCTAAATGACTGTTTATTAAAGATAGATCTAATGTCTTATATAATATTTAATGTTTTAATGGATGTATTCCGTTTATTAAGTGACTGTTTCTCAGAATGTACATGGAAAAGTGACTAAAAATTGTTGGTAAGCTCAAATGTTTCACTAACAAGAACTTTCAGAGTTACCCATAATTTGTATAATGTAATAGGAGGATGAAGATTGTCAGAACTATGTGATGATATATTAGCGCAATGTATTTCAAACAATCCGATCATACGTATACTTGTTAAGAACATTTACATATAAAAATTAAAAGGTCAGCTAAACAGATGGAGGATAAGAGGAGACAAAGATAATTAGTTGAAGTTAGACATTAACACCGTTGGATGCCGACTCAGTGGTCTAGAGGTTAAGAATTCACACATGAGATCGACGTTCCTGGGTTCGAGCCCCGCGAGCGGAAAGATAATAAAGACGATAATATGAAAAACAATGTGAAAACTCATCACACTGGATAATAAACTAATATTGTCAGAGTAGGTATAAGATTTTATTATTTAGTATGCTGAGTTTTCGCATTGTTTTTCATATTATTTTGTCTCCTCTTATGCTCCATTTCTAGTGCTGTTGACCCTATATATATATATATGTTCTTAACAAGTATATGTATTGCGCTAATATGTCATCGCACTTCTGATAATCTTTGTTTTCTTATTACACTATCTAAAGTTATCAAAGGAACTAATTGTTTTGTTCATAACTATTGTATTGAACATTAGAGTCGATTTTCTTGTTAGGAAAAATCTATTCTGGTTTTCAGACATTGTGAATTATTGATATGGAATGGATTTCAGGAGATGTAGTCCCACAGTAACCGGTGACCAACAATTAGTTCATACGCGATTTGTTCCTTCAGGATACTACAGCCTATTTGCACCATTGGTTTGGAATCAGGGTTTTCCAACTCCTCTAGGTGAACACGTAGTGTCCACCAACCCGGTTAAAATGCCGGACATTCATTTTTTGTACTCTCAATTTCGTAAACACTACCCCCTTCGCGAGAAGGCAGTGAGTAGGACTTTACTGGTAGTGGCTGTATACGCATGGCCATGTGAGCATTTCGAGAGAGAGAGAACTCTCCCAACTCTGGGCTGTACCATAGCTATTAGGGGTCATTGTTTCATGAATTAGATGTGTTCAGTCAAAGTTATAAGAATGTAGTTTCCCGCTGTTTATATCGCCAAATATATTTTTAATTTTTGCCTGACACCTTGTTTATTCTCATTATTACCGATAAAACTTGTTCTTTATTTCCTTTTTTTCTATATCACACTTCTGTTTTACTCTTAGTCAATGATTCAATATTTAGCCTGGCCATATGACTTATCTTCAACAGCGAACTCGGGAAATGTTGTTGCCGGTACATCATCACCATTTATTCATTTAGATCCAAGTCAAATATCCCAAGAAATGTCTTTAACTGGTCAATTATTCGAAGGACGTGTGTGCTACCTACATCGTGGTCTAAATGAACAGTTGATGGAACAGATTGACGAAGGAGATTATAAACCGATTGATCAGTTATTTTTCATTGTACATGGCATCGGCTCAATATATAATTTAAAAGGACAAGGTTTGATAGAATGTGTTAATGACATGAGGTGAGTGGTACGTATGTGAAAGTTATATAGTACTTCAAATACTGATAAGTGCTTCTTAATATGATATATATTGTATATAAATGTTGTGTGAATTATAGAAAAAATCTCCATAACTATGTGTTCATTGTTTCGTCTATTGTCTAAACAGCATTTAGGATGACAGGATATCAGTTGAAACACGCCAAGTATAATAACCAAATCTCAGGTTAAAACCCATTATACCTACTATGATTTCGTTGACTGGGCCGTACTATCACCGACCTTCATACAAAGTTTTGTTCAAAGCCCTGAGTACACAAAACTGTACTTGGTAAATCAGTAATAATAATCAATTAATTTCGACTGTTATTACCAACCATTTTAGTGCTTCATTAAAATGAAGTGCATCTTTCAGTAGTCTGTGGGTTTATTTTACTCTAGACTCCATTGAGTTAACGCATATCGTGCGAAATTTCAACATTATACCATTTATCTAACTAATGCTTTATACAGATTTTCGCTTTAAATTCTTGTGTTCGTATAAAATTAACTGTATGAATTTTCGTCACTTACTATAACTTAATTTATGTGTGGAACATGTATTTATTTTTCATATGGATAACATTTTTAGGTAAAGAGGTTTTGTGGACATTTTTAAAATTCATAGGTGATATTCGCCAAGAGCACTGAATAGCTGCATTGTCCTAGTATGTGACTCAATAGTGCTCACTCATGACCCATGAGAAACCACTGGCACTGAACCCAACTATATCAAATATGATATATTCTTGCTCACTGATAACGTTGTATGAAGATCGTGCCATTATCATAAATTAGTTGATATTGGGAATGCAAATTATTGAACTCTGACTTTGTGGTTCTGAATTTGACTGCCTGTAGCGGTTAATAATGCACACCGTTGAAGAGTCATAAACTAAAATGGAACGATTTCCCAGTGCTTGATAGTTTTTATATGTTTTCGTTTTTGCATGAAAGTCGCTTGTACATTTATTATCCTGATCGTAGCTGTTAAGTTGATGTGGTGTTTAGGAATTTCGATCTTAACGACTCAATTCAGGTATACTTGTTGGAACACTTGTTTCTTTAGATACTGCCATGCCAGATGGTTAGTTTGGAGAACAATCAGACTAAAAGCAGTAACTTCAGGTTCGATGACGAATTTTTACTTCTGGATATATTGGAGTTTGATGGCGGTTCAGTTCTTGCCTCAGATAATTGTTTCGGAAAAGCTGGGATAATAATCCACTCAGCCTGAAAAACTAGAACTATCGGCGGAATACTTTGAAGAACAGCTTATCTGTTCTCCAGCTACCCTACAGTTGCTTACCTTTACCAATAAACCCAAATAAGGTTTCAATATAAGTTCTTCATGAAGTAGAAAAAGCCATACCTAGATCAAAGGCTGGGGAGAGCAACAGGCTCTGGCGGCTTAACCATGGAAATGTCTAAGGATAGGAACTAAACGTAATTTTATCAGACACTCCACTCGGTGTCTGCAATCGTCCGGTGGTAAAAGATTACAAACTAGATGCGTATAGATATTCAGTCCTTTTTATCTTGTAATGATTCATCAACTGACGTTACTGCATTCTAAAAATCTATTCCAAATTCGTTGTGACGACGTTCGTAGTACATGCCCAAGTCCCCTAATTCCGTGTTTCAAGATGTTTAGCCAGTTGAATTACTATCACTGTGCCTGAACCTCAGCATTACTAATATGGTGTTGCCACCAAATGTCGGTTGTCCTTTTGAGACAACAATGATCAAACACAGGGAGTTGTTTAACTTTCTCAATTGTGAGAGACCATTCAGCTGGAAGAATAACTTTAGATAGCCCCAAAGGTGTTAATGAACCTCTCAGCCATAGCCTTACTCAATAGACAATCCCAGAAAACATTCCTGTCCAACGAATTGCAGTCTCCCTTGGTATCAAGAAACACAGCGATTGTTACCCTGCAATAGTTATGATGTGTTCTGACATTTGAAATAGTGTGCTATCGTCGAAGTAGGGCATTTTGAACGGCATACGTGTTTTCAGAAGTGTTGGTTCAAAGTTCACATTCGGTGGTATCTATTTTTATTTATTTATTATTTATTTTAACACATAGATATTGGTACAAGGAGGCACCAAATACATATGCGCCACACATATCTCATTTTATATGTGTGAGGGCTGTGATACTGCCCTGGTGCCCAAACCGAAACAGGTGATTTTCTTAGGGGGCCACATTCAGAGCCTTCGACCTGAAGGTCTGATCCACAAGGCAGTGGAGCATCGTAAGGAGATGCAGTCCCATGGAAGCCGGTGACCAACAATTGGTTCATACGCCATATGTTCCCGTAGGATACTGGAGCCCATGTGCACCATTGGTTTGGAATCAAGGTTTTCCAACTCCCTTAGATGGACCCTCCATGTCCACCAACCCGGTTAAAGTGCTAGACATTCGCTTTTTTCCTTTCAATTTCGTAAACAACACCCCCGCCACGAGGAGGGAGTGAGTAGGACTTCCCTGGCAGAGGCTATATACGCGTGGCCATGTGAGTATTTCGAGAGGAAGAGCGGACTCTCCCCACTCTCGGCCGTACCGGCGCATTTGGGTTGAAAAATAAACGAATACACAAATCGGGAATAAAAGGGAATAGACAAGTGATGCAACGTAAAACAAAAACTAATGTTACCGAATATTTGTGAACATGATTGTGGGATTGGGGCTTGAAGCGAGAATAATTTTCCTAGTTGTAGTCATAATCTGGTTTGTGTGTAGACTAGGATAATACGCAGATTCCCAAATTGAACAAGGTTGTTCACTTAGAGGTCCACTCCTCGAGTGTTTGACCTAAGGGTCCAATCCATAGTACAGTGGAGCAACGTTACGAGATCCATGCTCATGGTAGCCGGATACTAAATAATGAGTTCATAAGCCATTGGTTACCCCAGGACCATGGAGCTCATGTTCAACATTGGTTTTGAGTCAGGGTTTATCAACCCTGGGTGGATCCTCCTTATCCGCTAACCTGAAGTTTTTGTCTAAACAGTTGACCTTAATTTTCAATATGTTCTTATTTCGTTAGTGGACATATTCCAATCAAATGTGGATTTGTGTATCATCTTATTTTAGAAATACAGCTAAACAGTTGAGTCAAACGCACTTTCCACATCATCCGTATCGTGTGGAATTTTTGCCGATTCTTTGGCACGATGAATTACATTCGGATACTGTGACTGGTTTAGACAAACAGTTGGAACAAATCACTCTTGGTAGTATACCGAAATTAAGACAATTCACAAATGATTCATTAATGGATATATTGTTTTATACAAGTTCTAAATATTCACAACTAATTGTAAATACAGTGGCTAGAGAGATTACTAGACTACGTGAATTATTTATTTCACGTAATCCAAACTTTACCGTAAGCTGTTGCTCCTTTTTAAAAATTTTCTAAAGTTAATAAAGGTGTTTGTATAAATAGTTTAGTTTTTAGGTTAGGCTTAAGTAAATCAGAGAACCATTGGAAACTGGAGACTTTTGAAGTAGTTGTTTAGTTCCTGTTTTTTGTTCCTTATCAATGCATACCAAAACCATTATATCTTCTAAAGAGTGCCATACCATATAAAATACTGAGCTGGAGTCCAATTTTCTACGATCCCAAGTCCATTCAATTATTGATTGTGTCCGTTATTCACTGTCGTCGGTTGTATTTGTTTTGTTCCTAGCGTAGTTGAACTGCTCTTGTCACAGTTTCTCATTTTAGGTCTACAGGAATCTGTTTCAGACACTGGTCATCAAATTATTCAAGTCGTTTTATTTCCATTGAATAGCTCAACCAAAAACAAACGGAAATACAATTGTCAATAAAAAGGTTGTGTAAGAATGGCATCTGGTGGTCCATCATGACTCGCTGTTGGGATATGAATATAAAAGGGGAGAAACTACTGAATAATTCACATACAGAATTAAAAAATAAAGCAGAACTTCAACCATTCACGATTCACTTAAACCCATTGAATCGAACACACACCATGGCTTTACAATTTACTCAAAGTCCACAAGACTGGAATTCTTCTTCATCCAATTTTAGATATGTATAGCTCTACATACGACAAAACTGCAAAGTGGTTGATTCGAATCCTAGGCCCTACACACAAAACGATCGTCAACGGAAGTGTTAGAGACGTTTTCGATTTCATTTTCAAGATGCAACATAAGAACTTAAATGGGAATGGGGTGTTATATCTAGATGTTGTTTCCTTGTTCACCAGTGTACCATTAACTGAGACTATTGACTTTGTGTGCCAACAACTACTTGAAAAACAGATCAGAATTGGAATTCCTGAGTTTAACCTCGAAGAATTCTGAAGTGTACAATGAATGTCAATTTTGTCTTTCATAATACATATTATAGACAAATTGATGGAATAGAGATGCGTTCATCTCTAGGTCCTACTCTTGCTGATTTTTTTTCTTGCGAAACTAGAAAATGGACCTCTCAGAGAGGTTATCGATAAGCTTGACCTCTATTGTCGTTAACTGATGATGCAACTCATTAACAAAGCATATGCTCATGGATTCTATATACACTCTTTGTTCGGTGCCCAGTAATACTGCCCGACTGTTTGAATGGTCATAAACAGACTCGGTTTCAAGTTTGCGACTATGGTTTAAATTGTCTGATTTTCTAACTACCTAACCACTGCTTTACTTTTACGAGAGTTTAATTCCTCCTGTAATACTTATGATTGTAATTTTGTCTCCCTAATTCTAAGGCAAAGTAAAGCCAAGCACAAGATTTTGTTTTTAAAGGCGAACAGTTACGCGCTTGAGTATTACTGTTAAATAAGTAATCTAACTTCGTCTTCATCCTTTACCACTAAGCCTCAATCAATTTAGCATTCTAACAGAATCAATAACTCGTAACATTGATGCACATAGGCTTTGTTTTTACATTGCTATTGAGCTATCCTAAAGTGACAACTATATGCTACTTAACATTCTATTTATCATACGTACTTACTTACTTACGCCTGTTACTCCCAATGGAGCATAGGCCGCCGACCAGCATTGTCCAACCCACTCTGTCCTAGGCATTCTTTTCTACTTCCATCCAATTCTTGTTCATTTTTCTCATGTCTATTTCCATTTCCCGGCGTAATGTGTTCTTTGGTCTTCCTCTCCTCCTTTGGCCTTGAGGACTCCATGTGAGGGCTTGTCTTTTGACGCAGTTGGGTGCTTTCCTCAATGTGTGTCCTATCGACTTCCAGCGCTTCTTCCTGATTTCTTCCTCCGCTGGGACCTGGTTTGTTCTCTCCCACAGTACGTTGTTGCTAATAGTGTCCGGCCAACGGATCTGAAGTATTTTGCATAGACATCTGTTAATAAACACTTGTATTTTCTGGATGATGGCTTTCGTAGTTCTCCAGGTTTCCGCCCCATACAGTAGAACTGTCTTGACATTTGTATTGAAAATCCTGACCGTGGTGTTGGTTGACAGTTATTTTGAGTTCCAGATGTTCCTCAGTTGTAAATATGCTGCTCTTGCTTTACCGATCTGTGCCTTCACATCTGCATCAGATCCACCATGTTCATCAATGATGCTGCCCAGGTATGTAAAGGTTTTTACATCTTCCAAATCTTCTCCGTCAATTGTGATTGGATTCGTGCATGCTGTGTTGTATCGGAGAATCTTGCTTTTCCCTTTGTATATATTAAGATCTACTGCTGCTGAGGCTGCTGCTACATTGGTCGTCTTCCTCTGCAGTTGTTGTTGCGTTTGGGATAGAAGAGCCAGATCATCTGCGAAGTCTAGATCGTCCAACTGCATCCTAGACGTCCACTGTATCCCGTGCTTCCCTTCAGATGTTGACGTCTTCATGATCCAGTCGATCACCAGGAGTAAGAGGAAAGGTGAGAGTAAGCAACGTTGTCGGACGCCGGTCTTTATTTCGAACGACTTTGTCAACTGTCCTCCATGCACGATTTTGCAGTGTAATTCATCATATTAATTTTGTATGATATTGACTATCTTCTGAGGTACACCGTAGTGTCGAAGAAGCTTCCATTGTGTTGTTCTGTCCACATTTATCATACGTGATGAAACACTTATGATTATGTGGTTGTTATATGTCTCTCTTACGGTTATAACCCAGCTATTCCTACTGCTTAGTATTCTTGGACGCCAAATCACTCGACAAGTTCCCAGATCAGAACACGGTTTAACAGGAAAGAGATCATATTCCAAATAAAAAGGTTAGATTGAAGCAAGTCAGTAAGTACAATAGGGAAAACGTTAGTGTATTTATAGTTCTTCTACATGAGATGATTTCTAGTGTTCACTAAGTATCGACTAACGCTGATTGGACAAGAATTAGCCAATCAGCATGCACCAAAGCAGTCGTGCATTGAGCATGCTTTAATCCAGTCTATGTCCCGCTAATAGTGGTGTTGTTGATTAGAAAAGCAATGGTTTAGTGTTGCTATATTTGAAGACTCAGTGACACAAAGACCAATTCAGCTAACTATTCCGATTCGTCCCGGCCCCGCTAACTAGAGAGAGAAGTTGAAGTTCGTAAGAGGGAAATATATTTCACAAGCAGCCAGAAGCACGAATAACAACGACAATAAGCACAACTCAAGCGTATACATACACCATCAAACTGTCCTTGAGGAACGTTACAAAATAGCATATTAAAAGAGACAACGAACCAATAGTGTTTAAAGTCTAAGAAATTGAGAGGACGAAAAGCGAATGTCCAGCACTTTAACCGGGTTGGTGGTCATGGAGAGTCCATCTAAGGGAGTTGGAAAACCTTGATTCCAAACCAATGGTGCACATGGGCTCCAATATCCTACGGGAACATATGGCGTATGAACCAATTGTTGGTCACCGGCTTCCATGGGACTGCATCTCCTTACGATGTTCCACTGCCTTGTGGATCAGACCTTCAGGTCGAAGGCTCTGAATGTGGCCCCCTAAGAAAATCACCTGTTTCGGTTTGGGCACCCGGGCAGTATCACAGCCCTCACACACATCGAATGAGATTTATGTGGCGCATATGTATTTGGTGCTTCCTTGTACCAATGTCTATGTGTTTTAATAATAATAATAATTCGGTTACAACCATGTCTGGGCATTCGGATGGTGTCATTAACCTTCATAAAACTAAGGTATTACTCAAAATAAGTACATACATACTGTATAAGTCCCATATATCCATAGTTAAAAAAAAGATTGTATTTAGTTGAACTTTATCATGTACTTCACTTGAAACTTTTGTCAGGAAATTGCAATTATATCCATTAATTGTTTATTTCTAAATTTTAGGGTAATATCTCTATTATCGGTCATAGTTTAGGGGCTGTCATATCGTTTGATTTATTATGCCATCAAGCTGCTTATTCATTATACACTACCACAACTGATCAATCTCCTACAGTATCGTTGTCTACAGTACATAATAATAACAATAATAGAACAATTGGTAGTACTTTTATTACTAATACAGATTCGCAATCGAAAACAATAAATGATGTGAATTATGTTGATGAACTACATAGTGAAGTAAAGGTCGACCAGTTTACAGATGATATTATGAGTTCTTCCAAAATATCAGCAACTACTTTTCCTGCTTCTACGATAACGAGTGTTACTAGTAGCTTTAGTAGCTGTAGTAATGGTTCTACAACAATGGTGACTGATACAAACACTTCTCTGAATATTTCATCATTATCATCTGCCTCATCATCGTCAACTTGTCCATCGAAAGATCATAATAATGATGAAAATAAAAGTGAACATAGTACTACTATGTCAGATGCAGGACAAAATGATATGGGTGAATGGTCTATTGTTGATGATTGCCATCATCATCGTAACCGTTCAAAATCCAAGTTCAATAATGATAATAATACGAATGGAAGCCAATCACAGCCAATGCTCAATCTGTCTCTAAATAACATCAGTCAACTTAACGAAATCTTATCACAAAATGGATTAAATGTTGACCAAACACGTAGTATACTTCAATCAATCTTAAAATGGAATAAAATTAATCAACTTAAAAGCAAATCTGTTGAAGATTTAGAAAAGGAAAATAGTTATCACGATATGTTGGTCAATTCAAGTATCATTACTGGGCAAATTTTACCAAACATTGTTACAACTGCTTCAAATTCAATGTTGACGTCATTTTGGTTGGAAAATCATTATTTCTATGCAAACCAGTGCAACAGTAACAATGCTGGATTTGGTATTACACTGCCTAACTATCCTCAGTTAGGCTTTACTATATCTGGCTTATATACATTAGGCTCACCGATACCATTGTTTTTAACTGCACGTGGTATTAAAACGTTGAGTAACGAATTTCACTTGCCAACATGTTCAACATTTTATAACATATTTCATCCATTCGACCCAGTTGCCTATCGTATGGAAACATTGATTGATTCAGAATTTCAGGTAAAGATTATTGAGTTATACTTACTATTCCTATTTAGTTGGGACTATTTAATAATATTGTAGTGATTACTATTAAACGAACTTGCTGGTTTAATTTTGGAATAATCACATGATCACGGCCCAATTCTAACCTCTCATCAAACTTCGGGGGGTTGGCTGGTGTTTGACAAAATTTCTCCATAGATTTGGAAAGCTTGTTTAGCTCTTGTCAGCTTGATCCACTTTCAGTGTAAGCGAGATATCCGTCTGCCAACTAAGGGGAGTATATTGCACAGCGGTATTCTCAGTACTACTGTCTGTGAAACATGCCCTATGAAAGAAAAAAACGTACGTAGGCTGCATGTTTTAGATTTTAAATATATTTAAAGCATTTTTCGTGTATTTTGGGACAACTGAGCGAACAATGCTGAGGTCAAACTCAAGGTGTTATCTGAATATGTCGAATCAGTTGATCAGGTTGTGAATCTCCTTCGACTGAAGTGACTGGGACATGTATCGATCTCGGATCCTGATTAAATGTTCATGGAATATCTAACTATCTGGTTTCGTTTTTACGTAGTCTGATTAAGTTGTAACAGTAAACAAGATGGACTACCAATTCAAGTTAGTAGCTACAATCTGTATCTTTATTTATATTTACCCGATGTTTATAAAAGTAAAACGTTTTAGATGATATCATTTGTCATAGGAAGACCAGAGATGTTTTCAGTTTAATTCCACTCATACAAAATGCTTGTTATACGACCAGACCTGTGCATCATAGTGAGTATATACATGGAATATCTTATTGCCTGAATAAGGTGAAAAAAGTTGACTTGTATTCAGGAACCTGATAATAATTGAGATTGTTTATTCTTGTTTTTTGTATTCAACAGTGGTTTCTGTTACGATATTCACTTCATTTCGAAAATCTTACGCTTGTATTGACTGTTATTACTGGTTGATTAATCGAATCTAGTATTATCGTATTTAGGCGAAAAGGCTGATTTTAAAGCGATCACAAAAATAAAGGCCCAAATATATGATCATTGCATTTAGCTAAAAAGATTTATAGTTGTAACCATGTGCTACAATGTTAAAAAATTATTCACAAGATTTCTCTATTGTTCCCAGTTATTCTTGTTGTGTAATGAATGAATCTACAGATCTGACCGACAGAACCAGTGTAACTCGAGAATCAACACACTTTCAAGTTACTGCATTATTTTTTCCACCTGTCTGTCTCTCATCAGACATACAATCAGTATTTAGGTATTAGACCGTCAGATTATATTTTGTTCTACGGTCCAATTTAATGACAGTACATGATTCCTAACACTTTCCTGATCTGGTTTACAGACCACGTAGATTTAGAGTGTATAGGAAGCTATCTTGCTGGACGGGTTTAGGCACAGACATGTAGAGGTTGATCTTGGCTAGAGCAATAGTCCGGTTACTCATTAATATCATAAATTTATTTTCCTTGATCTTTTTTGTTTATTTTAACACAGGCTTTACCGTGCTATATTTTATCAAACTGTATCTAAAAGATTTTTTCCAGCATAAAAATCTTGTAAAATGTTACTTTCTGTTTAGCAAATCAGATTCTATAAATAGTAATATCTATTTGTCCTTATAGTATACTTGATTTAGTAAATTAGGTGTTTGTTATACGAATTACAAGTTTATGGGGTTCTGTTTTAATTACTGTATTTTTTTGTTGAAAAACATATCAGTAAATTTATTTGATATAACATGCAGTGACATAGATTGAATATCGGTCAGATACATACATATACATACTCATGTCATGACTATCTTACTGTTCAGATTTCCTAATAAATTGATCTGTGTTATTAAGTTATAAATACTCTAACCGATAACTTGTACACACCTTTAAAAGATTCTCTGTGTTATGTAATGAAACTTTATACAGAGAGATTATGTTAATTTCTTGGTACACTTTCACAACTTTTTAGCCATGTGTTCGATTTCGATTTCTTCTTAAAGATGAATATTGACAGTTATCATTGTTTTTCAGCAAAAATCTGTCCTCATTCCACATCATAAAGGTCGGAAACGTATACACTTACAATTGAAAGATAATTTAGCCTGGGTTGGTTCTGAATTAAAAAGTAAATTCTATAATTCAGTTCAATCTACTTGGCGCAGTCTACATGAATTCGCATTGGCTCATAAGTAAGTGAAATTGTGTATGCAGATTGAATACACATTTATTATATGTATATGCCAATTTCGTGCATATGAAATTACACAAACCACAAAGAACATTTCATACATATAGTTCCCTTAATCATTTTGAAAAGAGCAAGAACAAAGATCATTGTTTTTCAGCAAAAATCTGTCCTCATTCCACATCATAAAGGTCGGAAACGTATACACTTACAATTGAAAGATAATTTAGCCTGGGTTGGTTCTGAATTAAAAAGTAAATTCTATAATTCAGTTCAATCTACTTGGCGCAGTCTACATGAATTCGCATTGGCTCATAAGTAAGTGAAATTGTGTATGCAGATTGAATACACATTTATTATATGTATATGCCAATTTCGTGCATATGAAATTACACAAACCACAAAGAACATTTCATACATATAGTTCCCTTAATCATTTTGAAAAGAGCAAGAACAAAGATTCTAGCAGAATAACATGAATTCATTTTATTTCGTAGGTTCTCGTCACCTGCTTACAACCTGTGGTATTTAATAGATAATAATTACATAATGGGTTTAAATTGATTACATGAGAGGGTTTATATTGAAGAAATATTTGTAAAGTATGACATGGGTGTAAATGAAATTAATAGACTGAATATTGTAAATATATACCTAATGTGAAAGAATATTCTAGAGCATTAATCGTGACAGCAGTTCAAAAGTGGGTTAGAAACAATTGATTACATACAGTACAGTTCACCCGTATTTGCATTCGACTCACCAATGTGGTTTTCCCCAGTTTATTCTATGTGCTAATTTCTATATAAAACTATGAGCTGCAAATATTGTCTGAGAGCCAGTGATATTATCCAGTAGGTGGCTGATAAAATCTTGACATGCATTCAAAAAGTTCATTCAGCTTTCGCGAGATTTCATCACAAATGGTGTAGGCTATATATCTGTGTGCATATCAAAGAACGAGTGTATTCCTCAGCTGTTCTCATTGTTTCGCTTTATTAATGTGACATTTGGAGGTAGAAGACATGGATGTGTTACTAACATCGGACATTAGGTGACTTTGAAGCATAGTCCCCGAATGTCGAAACACCAAATAAGCAATGTTGAAGTTGGGGTACTAAGTGAAGATGACAAATCGGTTGACGAGATTGTAAATCTTTATTAACTAGAGTGGCTGGAATATATATTATCGATGCTCGACTATCCTCTACCTTGACATTCACTGTCGACTGACATAGAATCATCTCAAAAGAAAGCTAGGGACATACATCAAGATATGTCATCAGCCCATCACATCGTTGACTGTTGTTGGATGTAAAGTGCTGGTGGTCGGCCTATGCTCCTCCACGAGGAATAGCAGGCGTAAGTAAGTATGTATGTCTAATGGTGGTAGAAATATCAGAGGGCAAGATTTAGTGTATAACTGCCATGAATTATCTGTTATGTTCCCAGTCCCAAAACTTGTTGGAATCATTTACTCTGATTGGTCTAATAACAGGATAGATTCATCTAATAAGATTGTTTAGACTATTTAATAACATGAATTAATCAGCTAAAAATTTGAATTTACCTATTACAAATTTATTTACTTTTTCTTAATGAAAGCTTAAATTTATCTCAAATTTATGTTTATTCATTATGATTATATTGTAGATTGATTAGTGCCTCAGGTGAATTAGGATCTGGTTCTACTGCATATACTTGTGGTAACAGTTCAAATGGAGATGAATTAGACGATTATGAAAATGTTTGTAATCTCACTGACAATCGTAATGATGTTGTTACAACAACTTATCGTAATTTAACAACTCATGATTTATCTTTTAACAGTCGACTTAATCAAGGTAGACGTATAGATTATGTTTTACAGGTAATTAATTAATGACTTTATAATCTTTATGAGTTTATGGTCTTAAGTATTTGATTTGGAGAAGAAAGAAAGGGAATGTATATAAGTTGGTTTTATGTAATCAACTATGGCCTGCAGTGTATGTGTAAGGGCTGATGATAATGACCAATTTTCCAAGCTGAAGTAACTGAAACACAGTTCGAACTTGGAATCTATTGATTCATACTCGAGTGCTCTACTTATGACTCAGTGTTATTAACAGAGGTAAGTGTCAATCCACGGATCGCTGAGTTATGAGTTCAGCACGATCCCACTGTGTCACTTTTATAAGTAGAGTATTCATTAGAACCAACTTAATAAGTGAAGTTATAAGAAAAATAGCATGTCTACAAACATCCTGAGCTGAAATTACTAAGATAAAAAGTAATTACGACTGTATGCTGTTACAATAAATTTTGAGCAATAATACACCCAACGCTTCCCGTCACGAAAGTATATATTATGTTTAGTAAGCTATAAATATTTACGACAGAAGTTATGTGACGTTCACTTAAAGTGCGCTTTAACTGGAAACTTGGATATATTTTATGTTTTCTCGAATCTAATTTTGATTTTTTTTCTGATAATTTTTTTTTATAAACTAGGAAGCTGCTTTGGAAAGCTTCAATGAGTACCTTTTTGCACTTACAAGTCATGGAACCTATTGGGATTCAGTGGACACTGTGTTATTTATACTAACGGAAGCATATTCCGAAAAAGGTATAGCTCCTATAATGCCTGGTCAGAAGAATGTGCCTGAAAATACAATTCATGTGAGAGCATTATCACCTCTTACATCTGCCGGTTCAACTTCTGTTCATTCTATGCTCAATCCATCTTCTGTAACAGCAGATTTGTTAGTAAATGTAAATAATGATCATCAGATACCTGCATCTCAACAAGTCGATCATTTAGTTTCCTTATCTTCTGTCAACCAAAATCAACCTTATCCTGTTACAACTACTGTAGCTAGTACTGTTTCTTCTATTTCCAGGATTTCTAATATTCGAGGTCAACTGCCACCATCCTTACCATACATGACACCTCCCCCAGTCATTCTCACCACTACCACTAATAATAATACTCATTATATGCAAACTACGGTTACCGATTCGTGCTACCAGGTGCCAGTTAGTCAGCACTATTCCTCTGTAGGTCCACCATCATCTCATATCTTCTCTGACTGTTTAACTCAAGAATATATTGCTCCACAAATTCCTGTTTGTATGTCACAAGGTGAGTGCTTTCAATGTTTCCACTGTTTTTTCCTTTGTTTGTTGTCTCTCATACCCAACTGTGTGATTGTTTGCATCGAAGTGTGTGTTTGTGTGAGGAGTAGACTTGTGGTAGGCAAACAATCTTTTTTGCCCCCAAATGCCCTGGTACGGTCGAGAGCTGGGAGAGTCCGCTCTCTCTCTCTCTCGAAATACTCTCACGTGGCCACGCATATATAGCCTCTGCCAGGGAAGTCCTACTCACTGCCCTCTCGTGGCGGGGGGGTGTTGTTTACGAAAACGAGAGGATAAAAAGCGAATGTCCGGCGCTTTAACTGGATTCCAAACCAATGGTGCACATGGGCTCCAGTATCCTACGGGAACATATGGCGTATGAACCAATTGTTGGTCACCGGCTTCCATGGGACTGCATCTCCTTACGATGCTCCACTGCCTTGTGGATCAGACCTTCAGGTCGAAGGCTCGGGGTGTGGCCCCCTAAGGAAACCACCTGTTTCGGTTTGGGCACCCGGGCAGTATCACAGCCCTCACACATCGAATGAGATTTATGTGGCGCATTTGTATTTGGTGCCTCCTTGTACCAATGTCTATGTGTTAAAATAAATAAATAAATAATAAACAGTCTTTTTACCTTACAGATAGCTGACCAGTTTTACATATTAGTGGAACTGTGTTTCAGCTTTCAGTCGTTTTTTTCTCATGTTTGGTTCAGACAATCGAGTATTATTTCCAACCGCTTAAATGTCTAACACGTTTAATAGCATCAGGTCTTCAGATTTGTGGAGCTATTGTTTGGTAAAAATATCATGATTTATTTATATTTTCCACCAACTTGAAATTACAAATCGGATAATGACTGAGTGATTTATGCTGATTAGTACAATGAAAGACTAAAATATCCCATAATATTATTCAAACGGGGTAACAGTTTGAATTGAAATCTCAATTAATGGACTTTTTACCAACAATCTGAAATGTTGATTTTGAATGTAGTCGTTTTCCTATTAATGTGATTCACTGAGATTAGTTTATGAATACTTGCTGAGAATAGCAGCTGATTTGCATGAAGGAGTCAGTATTTTAGGGCATCAAAAAGAGTGTCTAATCACATTGACTACATATTTCTCTCACCATGTTTCATCCTAATTTTATCATGTTATTTTTCTCCATAATTTATTTCCTTGATGATTCCACTGTTATTCGTTTGTTGATCTTATCATTGTATTGTCTGTAAACGTTCACATGTAGTATGCCATAATGTGTTATTTTAGAAAGAAGTTTAAGTACGTTTGTAAAACTCAAAATACAAAAATACATTGATGAACGGTAGTTTTACACACTATTTCCTTAAATAGTATATGTCGATATCAAACTAAGTGGAAAAGAAAGACTTCTCGTTCGTTAATTTTTCTTGTATCAGGATGTAGGCCAACTGCTCTTTCTTAACTATGCTCAGATAACCGTCTGTTTCTGGAAAACACCAGCTTTAAACATCGTCTGAAATGGCGATATCCACAATCGATTCATCGATCAACTCAAATGGATTACATTCACATTTTGCCATCATTGGAGGGGTTCGATTGAAAACTGTCGTTCATTCTGTAGTACATTTAGATTCTAATCCTTCTCTAGTTTGAGCACGTATTTGTCTATGTCTTACTGTACGTAGAAGAGCCACAGCAAGAAAACCACTTAGAGTTCAGTTCAACTTCATGATACAAAAGTTGAAAATATATTTCAGGAACAGCTACGGAGTGAGTCAATCGTGAAAGTGATATCCACCCCAAAGCAGTTTGGCATGCTATCCAAAAAGCTCTGGAAACAGCAGGGATATCTACCAGTAATCTAAATCAAAAGATGAAGAGAAATCAGTGGATTACAGCGACATCTGCAGGACTTATAGATGCTCTGAAACTCATCCTGTCTGACTGTGATCATGATGAGGAACGGAGGATGCCTAAACGTAGGCTTGTTGAAAGCCTACGTGATGGTCATGAGCAGTGGTGGGTAGAGAAAGCATAAGAGATGAAAAAGGCAGCAGCTACAGGTAACAGTAGACAACTGTCCAGACTTGTCAAGGAAACGGGTGTTAAAAATTCATCTGTTAGTAAAACTATCTAGGGTAAAGTTGGGACTATTATTCATTTTCAATCCGGGAGATAACCGGTAGGTAGAACACTGGAGAACAGTTAAACTGGCTTTCAACCACAATTTGCTTACCCATTATCTCCAAGCAACCTGAATGGTAAACTTATGTAATTCTCCCAACTATTAATGAGTCTGAAAATGCTATAAGTATGGTATATGCTACTTATATATTTCTATATAAGTAGTATGTATTACTAATCAAAAGCTGAATGTCTGGCAGCAGAAGGTTGAGAAGATCGTATTGAAGAGAACGGGAATGTAAATAGAACGTAATTGTGAATTGGTAGAATTATATAGAATGTAAAGAATAATCGGTGCGTGAAGTGTTTAATTTATGGTCCGCATATTTTATGAAAATATCCCGTGATTTTGTATCAACTAATAAATTGATTGTCCCCACCTGAATGTTCGTTGATTACATAAGTAACTTAAAGCGAGGGAGAGCAGCGCTGCCTGATACCTTTAAGGAAGGTGGTCCAATTTTAGCAGTTAGATTAACTGAAATTTTATCTAAAATCTGGGGACTGAACGCAATCCCATCTGATTGGTCTCGATCGCAGATCATCCCAGTTTACAAGAAAGGACAAAAATCCTTTTGTGAAAATTATATAGGAACCAGTTTAACTAACATAATGTCTAATATATTGGCCTCCATAATACTTTGACATCTAAGTAGAGCTCGTGAAGGGAAAACCCGAGAAAAATAGGTTGGTTTCAGACATGGACGTGCATGTGTAGACCAAATATTCGCCCTTCGGCAGGTTCTGGAACTGAGACACACTTTCCGACTACAATTTTATTTCTTGATCCTGAAGCGGTGTTCAACTCTGTGGATTGTGAAGATCTGTTCAGTGCCTGTCGTTGAAAGGCATATCAAAAAATGCATAATGGGGAATTTTTTTTAAATGACAACCAAGTGAGTGCTCGAAGTATCTATTATACTATGATCAGGTGCAAGAGTATTTAGCATTTCTCGCCATTAGTGTTATTTAAGCAGATGTGACTATTGTATACTACTGAAGCATGATTTATAAGACAACGTAAGTATTTCACATTTCTATGATTTCACTAACTATTTACTAAATCCGTGTCACACACCAATGATCATTCAATAGATGCAAAAAGAAACTACTAACAAAGTAAAGGATGATTAATCACGTCTGTAGTACACGAATGGTCATCGATCACTGAACAGTAAGTAAGGCCAAAAAGACAAAAAAACCTCCGGCAAAAATATCTATTGTGCTCCAGTACTTGTGCCTTGTTTCTAAATACACCTCTGCTCCAGAAGGCGCGGTCGGCTTCACCAACTAAGTTTGACTAGAAGGAACAATAGACTGAATGAAATATTTTAAATATATATATATATATATATCTTAAGTAAAATAGCATTATATAACATTGGTGATAAAAAAAGCCCGAAGAGTTAGAAACAAGTGGTTACGTAATACGTAAGCACTGATAACAAGTAGGATAAAACAAGCAAAGCTCAGTGAATCGAAATAAGATTACTAATCTAAAGGACAGTTGAAAGAAAAGAACTAATGGTGCAATTAATTGAGAGAAAGAACTAAACGAAATTTTACAATGTAATGAAGGAAAATTTGTCATCAAGGTGAAGAAAGGTCAACAACCATCTCTTTTTGAACACCTGAATCAGGTTTCCCACGCTTGATGGCAACGGATTCAGAAAACTAGAGCATGGCTGTTTATTAACCACCCTGATAATTAACCGAACTATTTCAAGTCAACACTTCCTATTAGTCGATCCAACATTAACGAATCTATTGTAATTGCACATGTTATAATTTTAAACGATGTATTTGACCTTAAACCTGATCACTAATTGGATATTTAACTGTAGAACCTGAAAGTTTATTGAAAAGAATATTCTTCGTTCATATATCTGTGTTTTAATGATGATGGGGACTTTTCAGCGATTGGAATCTATTTATTTTTATGTAGCTTGATTTGTTTTTCCTTTTTAGAGTTTTCAAATACCACTGGAAATTATATGCAAACGCAAAAACAACATCAGTATTCAAATATACCAGCTTATGCTCATCGTAAACAAAGCTCTGTGAATAATTCAACTACTAGTTCTTTTACACCTTCCATACTTCCATTTCATCCAACAACACCGCCAACCTCATGCACTTCTGTTGACCATCCAATATCTGTTGTGCCATCTATTATCCCTGATCTACTTTGTACTCCTACTAATATATTTATACCAACATCAACAGTAGTGGAAAATACGTTTTGTTCATCATCTCGAATGTTCCCACCAGTATCTCAATAACAGCAACAAACGCTGTGTTGAGTGTTGTTTCTTCTATTGCTTGTTTTCAGCTATAATGTCAAAAGAAGACGATTTATGTGAATTTTTATGGTGATGGTTACTTTTGAGGCTGACGATCTCCCATATGGATACACAACATATAATCTGAAAATCCTTAATTATTTCTATTTTGTTGCTAACCTACTTTTATTCGGCTTCTTCATAATCAAAATAGCTGTGATTAACTTTATTCCACTAGTTATTTTTTACTCATTACTTATCTGGGTATTTTTTAATTCCTTTTCGTTTGAACTGTAATGCTAGATAAAGAGAGGACCGTTTTTATTTGTATTGTAATTATTAAATAAGAGAATTTAATTTAGAATAACTTTTTTGCTACTGTTACTGACCGATAAATATTTGTTGCTCGATAATGTGTGAATTGTCTCATTCTATTTTTTGAATGATGTTGCTTCGTGATATGAATATTTGTATCTGACGAGCAATTAACATTACCTATATATATATATATATATATATATATATATATATATATATATATATATACATGAGATACTTGTGTGTCAGGGATAAAATATCTGTATATTATAGATTGTTGAGCCAAAATAGTGAAATGTGTTAAGTTCCATTTGGTTCTTATCGATATTGATGTTTGGGTGGTTGTCATGCTTGTTGATTATTAAGACTTGTTTTTGGGATAGATATTTCCTTTTCTTTACGTTTTAAAAATTTTCGTAAGGTGTTTAAGGATTTGACGGCAGAGATCATCAGCATATTGTAAATGCATAATTTTCTAAGCTTTATATTGTTCATCTGTTAGAGATATGACATTCAGAATATATTCTTTTGTCTGACCCTGGATTTTTTAACAGATAGGTTAAGTAGGATAGAGCCCTCATTGCTTATTTGTCTGACTTCTTTATGTATGGTGAAGTAGTTACTAGTGTTTCCTGGTATCTGTCGGGGTTATCTAGAAACTTGGTCATTCATGTCATCAGGTTATTTGATGGAAAAGTTCATGATTAATTACTTTAGGAGAGTATTACAGGCTTTTGTGACGTCTACAAAGACAATAAGTATCATTTGATTCTCTTCTGAGGAACATTTTATAGAGTCACTGATTGTCGTAATAACATGAGTAATGCTAGGTGTTTTCTAAAACCATAATATGTTGGTAGGAGTAGTTTATCTGTAAGTTGGGATATTTTGTTGCAAAATATACCTCTAAACAGTTTCCCAATTATATTCAGCAGGAAGATACTACGATAGTTATTGGAGTCAGATCCTTGACCTTTGTTCATATTTATATACTCGCCACTTCTGCATTCAACTAGTAATCTGGCATAGTACTCTAGTTTGTCTCGATTTTGTTCATTATATTTAGTAGTATGTTATTTATTTCTCTGGTTATGCAATGTTTTCCAGGGGTTTTTTTTTACGATTTTTCATCTTTTTTAAACTAAGTTTAGGATGTTGGGTTGTACTCATTGCTAAAAGGAGTGGGTGAACATATTTCTTCTGAACGTAAAGCTTCAGCCTTTTTGATCCGAATAGCTGTTACTTCAGTCGTTTGAAAGATTTTTAGTCTGACGGACTCGCTGTTAACACGATGTATTACTGTAAATGACTGGTCCATACTTGCTTTATGAACCGTTTACACTAAATGAGCTCAAAATGAACTGTTAACAATTCTACCTACAATTATGCCTGCACACACTGGGAGGTGCTTGCGAGTACGAAAATACAAATTTCTAGAACACCTGCCAATATAACTTGTTCCACGAGAGCATTTGAATTGATAGATACGGAAACAGAATGCTAGTCTATTTCATTTACCTTTCAATCTAAGGACAAACATTGAACACATTGAAAACAAGGATTGTAGTCTTCCTATGGCGTTTAACGTGTCCTTTTGTATTAAATAAAAGGGGCTTCCTGTAACGGTAACATAAAGAGTAATTACAACATGCGATAGTGGAAAAGACAGCTGATAGATGTGTCTAAACTTGGTAACAGTATATCAACAAGCAAAACCCGAACCAAGAGCAAAACAATATTGAAACTGTTACGTTTAAACAAATGCACAAACTGTAGATAACTGCTACAGTGACTGAGGTGAAGTAATTATATTGATAAATACAATAAATGGTATAAGTATATGTAAATATTTCAAAATATTACACGACAAACTTGCGTTACAACACACGTTTAAAAATGTTTGGAAATACAACTATTTACTGAATGTAAATAAGTAGTATAGAAAAAAAAATACACAAAAGAGTGGAAGAGCAGCGAATAAGAACAATGTAAGACAAGCTTAACAGTTCTATTACATTCACCATGGCTAAATAGTAAAACATAGAAGACTGTGTTGAAGTTAAATAAACCAGAAGTATAAATGGTGTTCACTATTTTATATTATAATAGACTTTGTGATACTCCAGGTTGTTTATGATCATATATATTCAAATAACCCTTGTTATCGTCAGAATTTACCTACTCATTATATGAGTCAGATTTCTTTACGGGATTAGTATGCCATAAGAGGCTTATATTGAATTATAGCCTACGAGTAACATTTCTTTACCAATTATTTCGTAAATTTTATCAAGATCAACTTTAACCAAATCATTGAATTTGATTTGTTTTTCATTTGCATAAAACACTTTTAAAAGATTGTATTGACTGAGATTTCGGTTGAACATGGATTGTTACTTTTTTTAGAAAATCATTTGTACGAGAGATGCTTGCAAAATATCTAAGGTTTGCATAATTCCTGAAAATAGTATATTCTTGGTTTTATTTTTTTTCTCAATTCTCTGCGTTTATTAGCATGCTGTGGCAAACGATAGTTATTCTGTGACTGTCAAATAATGTATATTGTATATTATACATTAAATTTATTCACATTTTCCGTCAAGTCAACCATTACAAAAGACGATGGTATTGGGGTTTAACTACATCGATACGAAATCTTCTGTGTAATGTATCCATAGTTTCATATTATGATCATTTTGTTAATTAAAACAACTTCGAAATGTCAACAATATTGTTTTCGATTAAATCCTTATCTGACTTTACTCGAATATATGAATATCTAGATGTAGGTATGAAATTATTAAACCGATTAAGACAGTTTATAAGTCAGTGGAATAGATTACATTAATAAACAGTAAGTAAAAGGTACAAACTGAATGCGTATTCATAAGAAATTTTTGACTTATTCATTTCTTCCTCAGCTGATTTAGCCTTAACAAACGATTTATTTATTATGCAAAGTTGAATAGTGGAATCCAGGATGCGCGTTTCGTCTTATTTGGAACTCGTCAGCTGAATGTACCTGCACCTCAGAGTTGATGTTCACTCTTGGTCTCAAACTCAGTACCGTTCGTTTCAAACACCATCGCGCTATCCACTTAGTTACTGAGTCCTGATTTATTTATTATTCTCCATATTATTTATTCATTGATTTTTTTCGACCCCTTTTCATCAAGTTTACGCTTCATTGTCCTATTATCTGAAGACTTCTAATTGTGTAATTTCATAATTTTTAATGAATGTTACGTTAATACCTATTTTTTTTAAGTTGTTAGCCTACTTCCTTATTATGAAACATTGATTTAAGCTTTTATTATTGTTATCATTACTATTACACATATTACACTATCAATTTGAGCTATCTACTTACTGTTTATTTATGTAATCTATTCCAATGTTATCAGTAACTTATAAACTGCCTTAATCATTTTAATAACTTCATATGTGCATATAAATAGTACTGTATATTCAAGTGATTGAAAACAATATTGCTCATTTATACGTGGTTCTAATCTATAATTGACAAATAACAAGACGGTAACAGATTTATATAAGGAGGTGTAAGTTCTAAGAAACGTGTAGAAGCATTCTTAAGTGCTCTGTGCTATACCAAATGCTTGGTTGCATGCATTTGGCCGGTTTTAATGTGTTATCAACTCTATGGGAGCAGAAGCCAAGACGATGGTGCCAAGACTCATCTTTCAATACAGGGAAATTAAGTATAGGACCAATCACTGTTCTATGTTTAAATATCGCTAGTTACATACGGCTGATAATTCCCAAGCAGGATGACAAATGTATCCTGGGTTCGACCGCTGGCCGAATTCCAAGTATACTTTTTCTTGACAGCTGTGGATGGTCAAGACACTTCAGTCTAACATCGCAGGAAAGACAAAAACTTTATTATCATCAGTAACTGATAAGAACTGTGAAGCCAGTGGAAACGAGAGAAAACTAGGTTTCTGTTTAATTTCACTCTAGGACTCTTCGACGATGTTCATACATTATCTTAGATGAGATCAGAAGTAGGATGTTTTTTGTAGTCATAATATTGCAGTCACTGATTACAACTGTAAGGACATTCAAGTTGTTCATAACAATACGTGAGACATTTTCATTAAAAAAGTCTAATATGTCAAAACCTCGTCCACTAAAAGGAAAAATTACGTGTAAAATCTGTGTAAACCAACTATGATGGAGTATAGTTTAGAAATAAAGGAAAGTGTTGAAAATGGAAGAACATGTGTTATGTAGGACTCGATTTTCTGATTTCCTCTAAGTTTGATATTTCGAAACGTGACTTACTGTTTGCCAATATAGCTGAGAAAATTCTGGACTTGTTAATTTAAGCTCATATCTCATCCATCTATAGAATAAGATTAAAGCTACTCTTTCCTATGTAGACGTTCGCTTCTACACTAAATAACAAAAGTTGTTTATGATTTAAACTTATTTGGCAACAATTAAGCTACTCACAAGTAGACAAATAAGTCGGATAAAAATTTATCTAACTACCTAGATCAGGGATTGTTTATACTGAACAGGAAAGTTGTGTTGGGGAGGCACTAGTTAACTAGAAACTACAAATACGCTTCACTGACGGGTACTGACTATCACGTATCCGAGATTTATTGGTTGCTGACGATTGTCTCAAACTACCTGGCATAAAAACATCTACTGAACATGCTGAGGAATAAGGAAGCCGAATACGAACAATTTGATTATCTTATCCAAAATTTATTAAAGAAGTAATCATCATTAGTTAGTATTCTTAGTACCAAACCTGTCCGAGGGTATGAGATTTAAACCATTTATCTCTTAAGGTTACTCCGAAAATCTTTGAAAACTATAAACGGAACCTGTTTTCTCGTAGGTTGGCTGATATAAATTGTTCCATTCAATTAATTACTTTGCAGTTCGTAATTCAATGTTAAATCAAGAGAATATAATCCATCATATTGATTTTATAATGCGCGTCAAGTTAAATGTTTTTCAGAGGCACCTCATTACTGAATACAATAGTAACAGCAAACGGGAAATAGTTTTCAGTCGAACTTTAACTATATCCTCAAAGACGTCTGAACCAGATCACAACAATGCGAGGGGCAAAAGAAGGCACTTCCTTCGCCTATCCAATTGGCAGTGGAACTGAAGAAAAAACACTTTGATGTTCGTAGGTGATCTTGGGAATCAGTTATTTAGGAAGAGAGTTTATAGCTTTGAATTCCAGTGCACGCCCACAGTTAAAAAGAAATCTAAAATAATAATCTTAAAAATGCATTGAATGCTGATTCCGTCCGAACTTCCCAACAACTGTACGTTTCCTCGAAACACTCAAAACTTTCTTTAATCGAGGGCTACTTGAATTGTTTAGTTTCGGTAAAGTTTAATTATAGTACTGCTCATCACGTATATGAGTCCTGTATTTATATCACACATATATTAGCATATTAGATAGAAATAAGGGGTTTTAGATCTTATAGGTGTTATAAAGTATTCAAGTCACTGATTTAAAATGAAATTCGTTATAGTTATTTTACAACTTTGACTGATCATTACTTATTCTGGAAAACGTAGTAGTAATTGAGGCTATTTCTATGACAATGTTTATGTTAATTGGGTTTCATAGTAAATGAATTTTTCAATAGTACCAGACATTTCAAACTATTTTATACTATAAACATTACAAGTTCATAAATCAATATTGAAATCTAAGTCAACGATTTTATAAACATGTAGTTTAATTTCGTTAGTTAGCAACTAAAAGAGATGAAAGATATTTATTGTCCTGATGAATTTCCATTCGTGTCATCTACAAGCCAGATCATGTAAACGATGGCGGGGCTCGAACCCGGGACCGATTGGCTTCGCGCGCGAGCACTTAACCACCAGACCACCGAGCCGTATGAGTTTGGAAAACTAAAATCTTGTAATGTTACAAACTCCTCCTAGAGAGATTTCACTATAAGCTTATGTCATTTAAATGACGAATAAGAACTACACAAAACTGTACAGTTATTGTTTGTTTTAGTATGAAGTCACTCAATAGAATTGGTACTCGTAAAACTTCATGGGATTTCATCTTCAAACTTCAGGTTTAACAAAGATCATTCTTGAAGTTAATTAATTTGGGATTTAACTAAACTATTCATATTCCATTATAAACTATATCAAATAGTTACTATTATCTTCATAATTAAACTATCCAGTTTAAATAATGTAACTTCATTAAAGCCACTTATTTCTAAGAAACTATAATATACTCAATACACTAACAATTTAACAGGAAACTCATTCAACTGACATGTGAATTGATAAACCTCTCTGAAAATTTAATTAAATTTTTGCCAATTTTTATTTTCAATTTAAAAGACCTAACAAGACTTAACAACAACAACAACAATCATAAGGATATAAGAGAAATCAGATAATCACAATTGCTAATGAACGCCTAGTGAGGATATAAACATACACACATAGACACAGTTACCCCATCATCATTATTATCATCATCATCATCATGTCAACAGAATGAACGCTATGCAAATGATGGTTGCCGAATGAAAGAAAGAAAGAAAGAAGAAAACTTTGTTTTCCGGTAGTCATTTATTTATCCATATTATTTAAGGATGTGATAAATATGAGATATTTTTGTTTGATTGTTCGTTGGTTTGTTGTTGATTGGTTGGTTGGTTGGTTGTTAATAACTACAGGATTATCTAAAAAGAGAAAAACAACTTATCATCAACAATATGAAGTCTTTTCCTTATCTTGTTATATATATATGTATATGTATTAAACTGTATATAAATGTGTATATATTTGCATGTATAGATTCATGAATATGACAGATAACAGACAATATACACTACACAGGGTGTATTATATGTAAGATAACTAAAGGAAACGAATACATCATCCGATTATCATTACTTTTCAACAACAACAACAACAACAATGGAAAAAGAAGCGAAGACAAGATTTACATAATTGATTGATCAAATCAATCATAAGATCATGGTCATCAATGTGAACAATAAACAAACAAACAAACATAAATTACATCAAATCAAGTATGTGTATATATGAACACAAGAAGATCAAAAAAATTCTTTATCAAGGTTGATTTGAGAAGAAAGTCACAAAATCACTAATACTAAAGGCTTTAAATAAGAATACATAAAGAGTAATGTCTGTCTGATTGATAGACAGCAATAGGATAAACTCTATTTGTATTACTGAATACAATATCATGTTATTCTAGGGAAAAATTTGTCTTCATTGTTGAAAAGATGAAAGATGATTATGATGATGACCATGTAGATGATAATAATGACTTATATTGATGTTGCTGTTGATGATGATGGTGATGATGATGATGATGATATTTACTAATTAAATGATTTCGAACATGCCTTTCTAAATTAGCACGTTGTCCAAAACGTTTTAAACAAACATTACAATGAAATGGTCTTTCTTTTTGATGTATATTACGTATATGACGTTGTAAATTAGAACTAATACTAAATGATCTTGGACAATGTATACATTTATATGGTTGTTCACCAGTATGTGTACGTATATGTCTAGTAAGATTAGCTGATCTAGGAAATAATTTACCACAAAAATGGCATGTATAACGTTCATGTTTAGATGTAATATGATTTACACATGTTGATAATAATCCTTGTACTATTTCTATATTATCTGATGGTAATACATCTAAAACATTTGTGATTGTTTTATGTTTCTTAGGTATATTCTTAATACCATTACCATTATTATTATTATTATTATTATTATTATTATTATTATTATTATTATTATTATTATTATTATTATGATCACTTTCAACATGAACTACTGTTTGTGAAAGTTTTGTTTTAATTGAATAATTTAATGGTGGATTATTTAAATCTTTATCAATTTTTGTATAAATATTCTTACGTAATGATAATAACCATTTATAAATTGTTTCATAAGAATAGTTATTCTCATCATTTTTATAAATGTCATTAACATTTTTTGATTTTTGTAACATTTTTAAATAAATCGATATTAATTCAAATGGAATTGAATTAAAATATTGATTATTATTATTATTATTGTTTAAATCGATCAATTGATTATCATATAATGATGGAATAGTTGAAGAGTAATTAGTAACTAAGTCATTTTTAATCGTTTGATTTAATTGCCTTGGTAACAATGAAATATTATTATTATTATTATTACTCGTATTGATTATTGGAGTAAATTTAATAGATTTATGATTATGTAACATTGTTAATGCTAATAATTGTTCAGGTGGTGGTATAGTTATTAATGTTGAATAATAGAAATCATTTATAGATTTTAATTGATTTCTTTTTAATGTATAAAACATTTGTAATTTTTCTAAATTAGATTTATATAATGTATTCATTTGTTCTATAATAGATGATTGTGAAAAATAAAATTTATCATTAAATTGTGATGTTTTCATTGGTATATTAATATATGTATGTTGTAAACTACTTAATTGTATATCAGTAGATTTATTATATTTATTAATAAATGGTGTTGTTATTGTTGAAATTGTTAATTGATTAGAAATATTTGATTGATTTGAAATAGATGAATGATAAGATAAATCTAAAGGTACAGGTTGTTGTAAAGATTCTTCAATTAAATTTTCATTAATTCCTTCTGTAACCATGAGTATTTCTTTGTTTTCTTTTTGTTTTATTGTTCTTTACGAAATGTTCGTTTAAGTCAAATTGTAATTGAATAGAAAACACCAATTGTTATTCTATAAATGAATAAATTCTGGTTTAATATTTTGTATATAACACCCAAATACGATATTAATTTAAATATGTATTATCAATGGTAGAGATCAAGAGTCAATTGAAATTAGATCAGTATGGAAAACCTGAAAGTAATAGACATTCGTTTTGTCCTATTTTAGAACTTTTCAACACTGTGCATTCACAATTCTGTTTCACGAGATTCGAACCCAGGACCTATTAGTCTCGTGTGTAAGCGCTTAACCTCTAGACCACTGAGGTCTAACCTTAACCAATCCATGAGATTGAGCGACACATCCAATATTATTTTCAGTGACTTATTATCTCACAACAGACTTGATAGAACTCCACGGGTTACTACTTTTCATAATTTCAACCATTAAAATTATATTTCATATTAAACACGTATTAGTAAGATTAGAATGTAACTACCACCTTCATAAGTAAAATTTCAATTTCAACACTTAAATTAACTGGAAAACATTATTCAATTAGTTATGTCAATACTTATTTAAATCCTAATAAAACAATGAGAATATAATGAAATAGAAACCGATTTCATCAACATTGAAATGTATGAAATTCAATAGTGTGTTTAATGTTACTTTTCAGAGTTATTCACCAATGAATATGGAACATTGTAACATTGATTTATGTATCTAACACTGTGATCTTTCTTTTTGGTGGAGTTTTGTTCTCTGAGCTGGATGGTTTGGTTGTGGAGCTTTCATCGTTCTTCTGAACGACATCATCAGCACAACCAATGGGAGACACAACCAAAACAAAGAAGTAAACAATGATAAATTTAAGGTCAACAAGAACCAATCAACATCGAGGTGCACAGAACAAGCTGTGAAACACACATGGAGAAATTCGAACACTTCACTTCTATCTGAAGTTTGTGCTGATGATGTCGTTCAGAAGAACGATGAAAGCTCCACGACCAAACCATCCAGCTCAGAGAACAAAACTCCACCAAAATCATCCACCTGAGCTACAAATCTTCTCCACTGTGATCTTTCACATAACTACGTTGATCACTCTCTCATAACAATATGTATACTTTTCCTTCGTGTTATCATTAAGCGTACACAAGTTACTACAGTATATTTCCTGGTTAATAGATTTACAATATTCTATCGTTTTTTTTAAGAAGAAAAAAACTAAAACATCTATATTCTACAGTATTATTTTATGTTGTAAGACATATTTAAGTAAACATGATGTTATATTTACCATATTGTGTACAGTATTTTATTCATTTTGTATTCATCATGTTTCAGGGAATTACTTTTCTCTATTTCCTGGTGATCGACTAGATCGTGAAAATGTCAACATCTGAAGGGATGCATGGGATACAGTGTACATCTAGGATGAAGCTGGACGATCTAGACTTCACAGATGATCTGACTCTTCTATCGCACATACAACAACAAATTCAGGAGAAGATGACCAGTGTAGCAGCAGCAGCCTCAGCAGCAATAGGTCTCAACATACACAAAGCAAAACGCAAGATTCTCCGATACAACACAGCATGCACCAATCCAATTACAATTGACGGAGAAGATTTGGAAGATGTAAGGTCCTTTACACATCTGTGCATCATCATGAATGAACACAGTGGATTTGATGCAGATGTGAAGGTGCAGATCGGCAAAGCAAGAGTAGCATATTTACAACTGAAAAATATATGGAACTCAAAACAACTATCTGTCAACTAACACCAAAGTCAGAATTGTCAATACAAATGTCAAAGCAGTCCTACTGTATGGAGTGGAAACTTGGAGAACTACGAAAGCCATCATCCAGAAGATACATGTATCTATTAACAGTTGTTCACGCAAAATACTTCGGATCCGTTGGTCAGACACAATCAGAAACAACCTATTATGGGAGAGAACAAACCGGATCCCAACGGAGGAAGAAATCAGGAAGAAGCGCTGGAAGTGGACAGGACACACACTGAGGAAATCACTCAATTGTGTGTCGCATTGCAAGCCCTCACATGGAATTGTCAAGGCCGAATAAAGAAGAAGCGGAAGACCAAAGAACACATTAGGCCGAGAAATGGAGACAGACATGAGTGGGTTGTAGGATACTGGTCGGCGGCCTATGCTCCATTGGGAGTTACAGGTGTCAGTCAATAAGTAGCGTTTCAGGGAACAAAAAGACAAATGCTTTTTATTAGAAGTTTGCTTTTAGATAAATTTCTACTATGTTCAGTTGAACAGTGATAGATTATTAATAATGTCAAGGTGTGCCAAATTATTTTCAACATCATATACTTCAATCTTTGTTCATATTCTCATACTGAATTTAGTGAATTATTACCGAGAAGATAATAATCATTACAGAAATAGTTCATGTCCAAATGTTATCTTTATTTCTACCCCACCACCGCCAACACCACCGCCACCACCACCACCATCACCACAACAACAAAAAAGAGAGTTATTGACATATAGGTATGTATAAACACTGTTATCAAAACGTGTACTAATCTAGTTTATAAATTTTATAAATAGGTCATTGGTCATATATATATAATATTCCGACTAATAATTATTACACTATACTTTGTGTTTAACCGCCCAATTCTCCTTCACACCTAATTTAAACTTTTCTATTTATTTCTTTCTTTCTCAAAAAAAAAAAACAACAAACTAAAACATAATCACTATGATAGTAGGAAGGGAAAAGATTATTGAGTTTCTTTTTCAGGTTAAAAGATTAACTATTTTCACATAGAGATAGATGTAGGAAAATATGACTGTTTTTAGGTCGTGTCAATAATAGTAACAATGATATAGATATATATATAGAGAGAGAGAGTTAAACAATTTTGGAAAGAAAGAAAGAAAGAAAAAAAAGACCCATTTCGTGTTTCTTTGCAAAAACAAAAAAAAAAGAAAAAGAAAAAAGAAAAAAGAAATTTTTAAAAAAAATGATCATCTACTTCCTGGTTTATAAAAGGGACAATATGAGATTACACTGATTTACTGTTTAAATTTGATAATAAGATGAAAAAGGAATATTAACCATAGAACACCCTTTGATGTTTTGTACAATATTAATTAGAGTATACAATTCACCTAATGAATAAATTGTTGAGTTAGGTCAATAATACACTCAGGTGTTATTGTTTTCCGTTTTCCTTTTCTTTTCCTCTTTGCTGATTCGTATCTTCTAATGTACTATGTAAATTATTCACATGTTATTCATAATTGAATAGTTTCATAAAGATATATGTATCTATCTCAATGAGGTTACATTCATTACTGGATAATGATAGTCAACTCAAAAAAAAAAAAACACAACCAATATGATCAATCTATTCATCATTTCTTTTCATTCTTCTACTTGAAAATGTCAAAGAGTAAACTACAACTTCAATGGGATACATGACCTGAAATGTCTGTCATTCCATATTGTAATGACAATGTTTATTTTATTTGTCTTATTTCATATTCTCCTCAGTAAAACTCATTTCATTCAACATTCTTTCTTCTTCTTATTTTTTATTTAAAAAAATGATAAATTTTAATGCTTATCTGATTCACCAGTACATACAGTCTCATTCCCCTCCCACACACACACACACACACACACACAATAAAACTTACCGACTTCCTCTTTTTTTTTAAATATTATGAGTTGTAGCCTGACCTATCAAGTAGAATGATCATTAAACAACAAGAGATTAGATATTAATTATTTACGTAAATGACTGAAGATCATTATTGTGTGCAGTGTAGACAATTATCTTAGAGATAAGACTGAAGGATACATATATATATAGACGGATTTTCAGACCTACTCATTAAAACACAAATTAGCCATCACGGTTCCGGTATGCAGACTAAAATGAGGAAGTTATTAAATGTAATAAAATAAATTATTATTATTATTATCATTTTGATGGATAAGGGCTACTATTTAAATAGGGAGCATGTCTTAATGAAGTACCAGCATCTTGAGATATGTCTTTCTAGTGTGCGTGTGTGTGTGTTTGTCTTTTCATTCAAACTTAAAAATTTATCCACCTTTCTACTCACCTACCAACCTAACTAACTTATTGTTCAGGTGATTTGCTACTTGGTTGGTTGGTTGGCATGCCTCAAGAACAAGTAAAAGAATACTTCAGAACTTTTTCTTTATTTCCGGTAATGGGTATCGGAGTAATAATGATATAAATAGCAATAATAATAATAATAATGATAAAAGTGATTACAGGAAAGAAAAGTGTGTGTGTTATCATTTTTGTTTGTTCTATTGAACAAAAAATTCTTTGTTGAAAGAAATCATAACAATTACAATTGAGCAATACGAATTTTACTGATGATGACTTCTCCTCATTATCTCTTATTAACATTTCTCTCCCGGTTCTCATTCAATGGTTCTTTTACGCTTTGAAATTTCTCCACACCTAGGCACGTATGAATAGATGCATGTTATATATTCACCATCACCTACTGAAGTGATGTTAGTAGTGAGATTTTCTGAGAGTCATTTTAAAATCTGTTCGTCATGTTTTCTTATGTATGAGTATTGACGCCTGTTATTCCTCGTGGAGGAGCATAGGCCGCCCATCAGCACTCATCATCCAACCTTGTCCTAAGCAATCCTTTCCAGTTGTCATTCATCATTTTCATATTTGCTTCTATTTCCCGATGCAATATGTTCTTTCGCCTTCCATTTTTTCGCTTCCCTTTCAGCATTCCAAGTTAGGGCTTGCCTCGTGATACAGTTTGGTGATTTCTGTAATGTATGTTCTATCCATTTTCATCATCTTTTCTTAATTTCGTTATCAGCCGGAATCTGGTTTATCCTCTCCCACAGAATGCTGCTGCCTTCTGTACAAAGAAACGGGGATATCTTACACCACTTATGTGTATGTATAAATATATGTTTTTGTTCTCATTATCCTTATCATTCTCATTTATTGCATTTGTTTCAATTCTTCAAACCATTATATTATTACTGAATTAATTCTGACTTTTAC